GATGTACTGCTGGATCCGATTTGCTAGAATTTTGTTGAGGATTTTGGCATCTATGTTCATGAGGGATATTGGCATGTAAATCTCTTTCATTGTGCTGTCTTTATCTGTCTTTGGACTTATTTTAAAACTCAAGGCCTGGTGCACGAAATTCCTGCAAGGGTAGGGTCCCTAGGCCTGGCTGACGATCAGGGCCGATCTGTGTGGCAACCGGTGGGGCGATCAGGGGGCTCCTGCAGGCACCTGCCTTGGCTGGCCTGATGCCTGCAGGCTGGGCGCAGCTCCTGTGTTGACTTCCCTCTAGTGGTCAGTGCGCATCGTAGCGACCAGTCGTTCGCTGTTCGGTCAATTTGCATTTTAGGCTTTTATTATACAGGATGGCTACTTTTCACTTCTCCCTATAGGAAGCAGAAAGGGATTTTTCTCCAATCTTCCCTGTGACAACCAGGCTCAAGTTCATAAAACACATGAAAGGTTGGAGCTCCCCTAGGACTGGCCCTCCTGGACTTTTTAACTCTCAAACATATCTACACTGATCCTTCAACAATTCATTAATTATAGATTAGGTTTTTCCTACCCTGGTACTGGTTACCCATGAAGTTTTCTGCTCCTAGATTTCTGCTCTGGTAACTTGTGATTCTCTATATCTGTCTGTTTGACTCTCCAGTTTTGGGAACAGTTGTTTGCCCTATGACCTCAGTTATCTGATGAATCTAAAAGGAGTTGTTGATTTTCAGTGTGTTCAGCTTTTTCATGTGTTGAATAGGAGAGATGACTTCCAAGTTCCTTACATGCTGGGTTAGAAACCAGGAAGTCCCTTCATTGTTTTTTGTTGTTTTACTGAATATAATTAAGTAGCTCAAGTATGACAACTCCTTTAGCTTATGTAACTCTTAAATTACTAGAAAGTTCACCCCAATCAATTTAATAACTTAAAAAAATTAAAAATATCTAGCTAATAAAATATAAATGGATAAATACACAAATTACTAGAAAGTTACACAAAACACACACACTATGTTTTTAGCTGCTTGCACAAAAATTTTTATAGAAGTGCAGTCTAATATAACATAGTTAATTGATAATTGTGTAAGCATTTTCATATAACTTCTTTTGGTAAGACTATGCTTTAGCCTTTTCACTGTCAGTTATAAAATAAGTCATATAATAAATCCCCCTCCTAATATTGTATTAAATAATATGACTCTGCTAATAACCTATATATTGCTTTAATTAGATGATGATTGCTCTTTAACATTATATTTCCCTGTTTCCTTACCTTCTTGGAAGCTCAAAAATAAGTTTAGGTTCTCAATTACAATTAGTTCTCCTACCCCATCCTCTTTCTCCACTCACCATTTATTTTAGTTGTGATTTCATTACTTATCTGTTTTTTTATTAAAACTTTCATGTCCATTTAAAAGTAGGTTATATAAATAATATATTAACTTTGCTCAAGTATTGCCTGATAGAGTTTTAAGTTTTATGCTGCTGCTCCGCCTTTTTTCCTGCTTCATACTCACTATCATTCTCTCCTTTACTCTATAGACTTCTCTTGACCATGATGTGAATTATTAATTTCATGGCTTATTCATAATAAATTATTTGTTCCAGACATACTTTCTCTTGTCACCCTTTTTACTTTATGGTTCCTCTGAGTTCTTTTGCTATTTTAATATTAACCCAAGCCAGACCATTAAGAATGTACTCTATCTAGAAAAGTTAATTGAAAAAGTCTCATAAAGCTAAATTATAAAATGCACTGTAATTGTATATACCTATGCTTTTATTATTTAAAGTAGATCATTGAGGGCATATATTCTTAGAAAAATATTTTGAATTATACTAAATTTTACAAATCTTTGAAGACTTAATTTATCAATATTCCTCTATTGGGAGTACACCTTTATCTAATTTATTACTTTAATGATTTTGTAATATAATATCAAATTTATCAAACTAATTACCAGAATGTGATAGTTTTGGTTAACTAATTTCCCACTGTATTATGCTTTTTTATTCAAAAGTTAACATGATTGAATTTATAGTTCAGTTTCAATCTTATTCATAAACATTTAATAATTTGGTTTGGGAGACAGTATGAATACATAGAGGAAAAATTAGCAAGACTAGATAGTATATTAAGTGTCACATAAATAATGTAGGCAATACAGAAATTTAGAAATGGCTAAATTTCTGTCATAGTTAGGAAAGACTCATAGAGGAGATAGAAATTGAATTAGATGATGGATAAGACTTAGATAAGAATAGAAAAATGGGCTATGAATTGTGGATAGGCCCTATTTATGGATCTGTTTTTATGCTGCTTGACTTATGTCAGACTCATTTTGATATAAATAGGAAATGGAAATGAAAACCATGTTGAGGTGTCATTTATATCTATTGGATTTATAAAAATTAACAACCTTGAGTCAAGTGTTGTTGCAAATGTGGAGCTGTTGAGAATTCTTGAAGTGCATCTAGCCTATGACCTAGCACTTTCACCTGTGAACATATATAATCTAGAGCAATGTTTTTCAACCTTTTGTTAATATGATCCCCACATAGAAAAAAATTATTTTAATTCATGAGTCAGTATACACTCATAAAATAAATGTTTTATATAATAATAGATATCCTTCTATGTCTATTAAAAGTAAAAATGTAACAAAGTTGATATTAAATATGACTTTTATAATATTTGCACAAAATAGAAATTCCAAATTAAACACTGCCAGAAAATAGGAGATATTTCATTTAATATATAAAGTGTGTCTGCTTCTTTCATACGTATATTCTTATGAGCATAGTTTTTTTTGGTAAGAATTTGAGCATATCACTTTGATATTTTTTATTGTATTCTATTCCACTTAAAAAATGCTGATTATGATGACCCATTACTAGATTACAATTGATTTAATTACCCATTACTAGATTGCAAACTGTAATGTAAATTGAGCAAAAATAGCATGCCACAGAATATGTGTAGTATGGTTTAATTTATATAAAGTTCAAAAATAAGCTAAACTTTATAATACATTAAATAGGGATACGTAAGGTGTCCCAAAGAAATGTATTCATACACATTGAATAATTATAAAGGCAGTGGTCATTAAAATAAATTTCATTTTCAAAATTGAGCTATCAGATGTTAAAGTCTGTATACATTTTTGGGACACTGTGTATATGTCTTCAAACTATAAGGAAAAGCAAGAGAAGAGTGAGAACCAAAGTTTCAGGACAATGCTTACCCCTGTAAGAGGATCAGGGGACATACTAGTACATGAGCCTTCAAAGATAATGATAAAGTTGTCTTTTTCAATTGGTTGTTATGGATACAGGGCTGCTCTTTTTATTGTTTCTTAATACCTTACACACTTATCATGGATTATTTTTCTATATTCAGTTATGTATCACATAATAACCTTTAGGTCAGTGGAGGACCACATATACTACAGTGGTCCCATATGATTGTAATGGAGCTGAAAAATTCCTATTGCCTAGAAATTTTATCATAGACATCATAATGTGGTAGCACAGCGCATTGTGTGTTTCTGGTCATTCTCATGTAAACAAACCTACTGTACTGAGATTCATATAACAGTATATAGCACATACAATTACAGTGGTAGGCCATTCCATATAATTTTGTGTAAGTGCCTTCTATGATATTTACGCAAAAATAAAATCGCCTAATGGTGCATTTTTTAAAACATATTTCTATTATTAAGCTGTCCATTACTGTATTTAGTGTTTAAAATACTTTTAAGTAGAAGTAAAATAAAATCAATTTACATTATAGTTTAAAGAAATTAGAATATAGGAAATACCCTCGTTTTATTCCTTAGACTCACATTTTTCATCCTACCCCTGATTCATACTTTAAGTTCATCCCCAAGTCCTTTAGAGAGTGTTTATTATCAGTAAATATGGAAGTGCAAAATAAAGTGAGATTTAGGGATCATATGACTGTCAGTGATAGATCAGTGATGGAATAAAGGTTATAGGTTTCTACTGAATATATTACTTAATAAGAAAACAATGTGCTGATATCTTGGTTGAAAGGCAGATGGGGCTTGAAGGAAGGATGATGTTAAGAATGACTTGGAGGCTTTAAAAAAATGTGTATAGCCAGCTAATAGGATTTAATAACTATTAGTTGAAAAAATGGATGGATTGACAAAAGTTGAAGAAGTTTAAGAAAGAGATAGTATCAGAATATGGATTTCAGTTGTATCATGTTAGTTTGAGGTGATAGCAGATAATCCAAGTGGAGGTATTGTATAGAAAGTTGAAAATGTGGGTTGGTGATTAGGAGAGAGTCAGGGCTGGATTATAAATTATGTAGTCCTTTCAAACATCAATGAGACCATAAGCTATGAGGGTGGGTACATTTTCTGAGAGAAAAGCTATAAGGAGAGAAGTGGGAAACTAAGAATTGAGTCACGGATACATCCTTCAATTCAGTATCATTTTGATATCTCTGGCAGGTAAGAAGAATATTCAGTTAAAATTGTGAATTTTTAAATATTCTGAATATTCTTTCTATGGAGCAAGATATTTTTGGTACCAAATAAAACATGCTATTTTTATTCTTTTAAATTATTTACACCTTCAAAAAAACTGTAATTGTTTCATTTGAAGATATTTTCTTTCAAATGATACTCAAAAGTATAATACTTATGTTAGTTAATATGCATTTTCCTTAATTGGAATATTTTGTTTTTCTCTTATTACACACCTAAATCTTAAAAGTTTGCTTTCTGATTGTGGCTTAATATTTGGTATCTAGTTTTTATGTGGTCTATGTTTTAAACTAATAAATAGATACTGTACTTGGAGTTTACTTAAAAACCTGTGGGCATATCACAGGAAGAAAATGAGCATTGTTATTATGAAAGCTAGTTAATCCTTACATTTTAATTAAGATCTGAATCGTTTTAGATGACATAAATTTTTCTTAGAAAAACGAGCTCACCAATAACTGATTTCTTTTTTTAAAGAGAGAATCAGCACTAAAACAGGACATAAATGACCTTGTAAAGCGGAAGATTGCAGTAGATGAAGAAAATGCTTTCTTAAGGAGAGAATTCAGTGACTTGCAGAAGAAATTTAAAGATAAAAGGCAAGAAGTTAAGGTGTGTTGACTTGTACATAGTTTTATAGTACTATTACTTTGAAGTTCTACTTTAAGCTTTGTCAGCTTTTGTGGCACAGAAAGTGACAACCTTGGAGGAAAAATTGCCTGAGGCTCTGATGTACCACAGTTTTCTCACATTCAAAAACTCTGAGAAAGATGCTTTAAAGCTAAGACTCCAAGCTTGATAACTTTCAGATAAATAGTTAATGATGGAAATGGAGCTAAGAAAGTAGGAGTGTGAATATGTGGCTTCTTGTAATTAGATTCTGATGGGACTGGCATTATTAATTGATAAAACCCTGGGAGTATATGTCTGTATGAGTCTCAAAAATAGCTGGGGACAGCATCAAAGGCAGCTTGATCAATTAATGGTCTCTTTGCAAATGTGTACTCATCAAAGCTGTCATCCAGTGAAAAAATATGATCTATCCACCTGCATGAAAAGAGGCCAATAAAAGTATACAGGTGACCTTGGCTATCAAATATAGAAGAAGCTGCTGTGAGGGTAAAACTGCACAGTTTATATTTGCTGATTGGTGCTCACCATTTTTTTGTTTGTTTTTTTATCGGCCCTATGGCACTGTTCTGTAGGACAGTAAAGAGTGTATACAGAATAAGGAAGAACAAAACAGACTGGTTATAAAAGACCTGGAAGAGGAAAATGAGAAATTAAGTACCCGCTGTGTTGACCTGCTAAATGACCTGGAGAGACTGAGGAAGCAGGAAGCTCATTGGAAAAAAGAAAAATATAGCATTGATGCAAAAATAAAGGTATGCAATCAGAATGGAATTAACCCTGTGATTTTGGACCTAACTTCTCACGGGAAGTTTATTATATGTTGTTTTCTTTAAATAAGTTATATAGTCAGATCCAGCAATGGGACTAGTATTAATTTATATTCCTTCACTTAAGACCCACAGCTTTTTAAAAATTGATGTTGCAAAGCAGGAAACTGACTTCAAATATTTATCTATAATATAATCACTAAAAATAAATGATACTGCATTTTGAAAGAAAACATGTTTTAGAAATATTAGTATCATGAATTTTTACTCTTTTCAGTTAGGGCTTAAATTTATAGAGAAAGGCTAGAATTCATTGGAATATAGCTTTAAAACTATTTTCAAGGCCTTTAAAAAAAGTTAAAAAAGCACAAGACAGTTAAAAAAATACTCATATGAGTTTTGAAGATGGTGTTTTCTTTGGCTTAAGAGGGCCTATTCATAGTAAGATCTTATTTTATAGAATATATAGGTGCAATCAGTCTTTATAATATTCTTACACTCTTTTGATCAGTATTTTTCAAAATAATATGTTTTTGTGACTTTCTTGGTCTTGGGAATGTTATGTTCAGTTTTTCCCATCAAATGTTAGGTTTTTCTTTTCCACAGATTTTGTTGAAAAGGCCAGAAATGTATTTTAGTGCTAGCAAATATGATAGTCCCTTTATGTATACACACATAAAAAAGAATATATAAAAACACACATATATATTTATTTTTTTCTTTTCAGCATTTTTCCCATCTGTCTCGGTTCTAAAAATTAGTACATTTTCTGAAATTTTCTAAGTCATATAATTATATGCTGCTTCTTTCCTCTCTAAAATATTAATTGACATATAATTTACATATTTTGTATTGAATCCATTTAAGTGTACAGTTCAGTAGTTTTAGTTTATGCATAGTTGAGCAACTATCGCCACAATTAATTTGAAATCATTTTCATCATCCCCAAAAGAAATCCTGTAACCTTAAGCAATCACTACTCATTTATCCTTAGCTCCACAAAGGATTAGTAGATAACCACTAATCCACTTTCTTTCTCAATAGATTTTTCTATTCTAAACATATAACTAAAATCATAGTATGTGATCTTTTGTGACTGACTTCTGCCACTTAGAATAATGTTTTCAGGATTTATCCATGGTGTAGCATGTATTAGTGCTTCATCCTTTTTTATTGTTGATTAATATTCCATCTTAAATATATTCAACATTTTATTTATCACTAGTATATGGACACTTGTGTTATGAATAATGCTGCTCTGAACATTTGTATACAATATTTTGTATATACATACATATATCTTCATTTTTCTTAGGTACATAACAAGAAATGAGATTACTGAGTCTTAGTGTAACTCTGTCCTTAAGTTTTAGAGAAAATGTCAGATTGTTTTCAAAAGCAGCTGCACCAAAACAATGATAACTATTTGTGTATTGTTGATAATTTTAGGGTTCAGGAGAATTTATAAGCTTACTTTTAAAAAGAGGTAGTATATGGACTGTTTCTTGAAATTCTTGGAGTAGAAAGGAAACAGTGGCTTTCTAGTCTCATTACTCAACCTGCATCCACCTGTCATTTACATTTTGCTCATTGTTGGCAGTTGGTACTAATTAAAATGTTGATCAATACAGATGTTTAAAAAAAGCAGCTGCACCATTTTACATGCTGAGCAGCAGTGTATGAGGGTTCTGATTTCTCTGCCATCCTTAACATTTGTTGATTTGTCTTTTTAAATTTTATTTATTTTTTATTATTTTTAATCTTCACCTGAGGATATGCTAACTGATTGTACAGAAAAGGGAAGGGAGAGGGAGAGTGTGAGAGAGAGAGGGAGAGAGAAAGGTGAGAGAGAACATTGATTGGTTTCCTCCCATTTGCAGTCAGATTGAGGATCAAACCCACAACCTAGGTATGTGCTCTGACTGGGAATTGAACCCACAACCCTTCCGTGTATGGGACAATGCTCCAACCAACTGAGCTTCATTGGCCAGGGCGACTTGTCTGTATTTTTGTTTTTTCTAATATATTTATTTATTTTTTTTAATCCTCACCTGAGGATATTTTTCCATTGACTTTTAGAGAGAGTGGAAGGGAGAGAGGGAGAGATGAGAGAGAGAGAGAGAAACAATGGTATAAGAGAGACACTTTGATTGCTTGCCTCCTGCATGTGCCCTGACCAGGGCCAGGATTGAACCTGCAACACAGGCACATACCCTTGACTGGGAATCGAACTTGGGACCCTTAGGTGTGCAGTCTGATGCTCTAACCACTGAGAACACTGGCCAGAGCAGGTCATGTCTATTTAATTACAGTCTTCCTTGTGGATACAAAATGGCTTCTCAATGGATTTTGATTGTATTCCCTGATGTTGAACATCTTTTCATATGTATTGGCCATTGTATGTTTTTTGAATAAATGTGTATATCTTTGGAAAAATGTGTGTTCATTTCTTTTGCATATAATCTGGATACAAGTCTCCTTTTAGCTATATAATTTTAAACTATTTTTTTCTATTCTCAAGTTTTTTTTTTCTTCTGTAATGGTATTATTTCAAGCACAAAAATTTTAACTTTTGATGATACTGAATTTATCAACATTTTGTTGTCTGTATTTTTTGTGTCATATCAGGGAAACTGTTGACTGAGCCAAGATCATGAAAGTGGACATATATATTTATCTTTAGTAGCATACATAATTTTTCTCCTATATTGCTCTTTCTCTTTATGTTATTTTTATCATGTTACTAGAGGCCTGGTGCACGAAATTCATGCACAGGGCGGGGTGTGTTTCTCTCAGCCCAGCCTGCACCCTCTCCAATCTGGGACTCTTGAGGGATGTCCGACTGCCCGTTTAGGTCCGATCCCTCTCACAATCCAGGACTGTTGGCTCCCAACTGCTTGCCTGCCTGCCTGCCTGATTGCCCCTAACCACTCCCCTGCCAGCCTGATCGACACCTAACTGCACCTATACCGGCCCAATTGCCCCTAACTGCCCTCCCCTGCTGGCCTGGTTGCCCCTAATTGCTCTCCCTTGCAGGCCTGGTTGCCCCTAATTGCTCTCCCTTGCAGGCCTGGTTCCCCCTAACTACCCTCCCCTGCAGGCCTGGTCCCTCCCCCAAATGCCCTCCCCTGCAGACCTGGTTCCCCACAACTGCCCTCCCCTGCAGGCCTGGTCACCCCTAACTGCCCTCCCCTGCAGGCCTGGTCACTCCTAACTGCCCTACCCTGCAGGCCTGGGTCCCCCCCAACTGCCCTTCCCTGCAGGCCTGGTCCCCCCAACTGCCCTACCCTGCAGGCCTGATTGCCCACAACTGCCTTCCCTTTCAGGCCTGGTCTCTCCCAACTGCCCTCCTCTGCTGGCCTGATCGTCCACAACTGCCCTCCCCTGCTGGCCATCTTTTGTCCACATGGGGGCGGCCATGTTGTGTGTTGGAGTGATAGTCAATTTGCATATTACTCTTTTGTTAGTAAAATTGTGTGCCCTGTAGCATAGATTAGTAATTTTTATTTGCTTGTCATTTAATCATGTAGGAAATAAAAAGCAGTTACCAAATATGCAGTAATATTGGCTTTTATATTTCCCCACATATTTTCCTTTATTGGAGTCTCTGTTTCTTCATATGGCTTTCAGTTACTGTTTTGCATCCTTTTATTTCAATCGAAATGATTAGCATCTCTCCTAAGACAGATCCAGCTCCATCAGCTTTTGCTTATCTATAAATATCTTAATTACTCTCTAAATTTTGAAAACACTTTTGCTGGGTATAAAATTCAATGTCATCAGTTCTTTTCTTTTATATCATTAAATATGTCCTTCCACTGCCTCCTGCTTCTATGAATTTTTATTATGAATCAGCTATTAATCTCATTAATGTCCCTTGTATATGACAAGTAACTCTCTGTTGTTGCTTTCAAGATTCTCTCTTTGCTTTTAGTTGAATTTCAAAGTTTTATTACAATGTATCTCAATATGGGTGTCTTTCTGTTGATCTTACTTGGAGTTCATTGAGGTCTTTAGGTTTTTATATGCAAATCTCATATCAAAGTTGGGAAGTGTTTGGTCATTATTTTTTCAAATCTTATTTTTTTTGCTGTTTTCTGTCTCATCTTTTGGGACTCCTATAATGTGTATGTTGATTTTCTTAATGGTGCTCCACTGACCCCATAAGAACTATTCATTTTTCATTCTTCCTTCTTTTTTCTCAGAATCAATAATTTCACAGGTTATATCTCTACTTTACTGATTCTTTCTTCTATCTGATTATATTTGTTGTTGAACCCTCTGGTGTATTGTTCACATTTTGTTATTTTACATTTTAACAACAAAATTTGATTCTATTTTTTTTAATTCTTTATTCTTTAAAGTATTACATAAGTCTCCTTTTCCCCCAATTGACCTCTCCCCAGCCACTCCCACTCTCAAGCACATGCCCTCACTCCCCTACTGTCTGTGTCTATGGCTTATGCTTATATGCATCTATACAAGTCCTTTGGTTGATCTCTTACTCTCCCTTCCCCCAGCCTACCCACTTAGGTTTGACGGTCTGTTCGATGCTTCTATGTCTCTGGCTCTATTTTGTTCATCAGTTTATGTTGTTCATTATAGTCCACAAATGAGTGATATCTTGTGATATTTATCTTTCTCTGACTGGCTTATTTTGCTTAGCATAATGCTCTTCAGTTCCATCCATGCTGTTGCAAATGGTAAGAATTCCTTCTTTTTTACAGTAGCATAGTATTCTATTGTGTAGATTTACCACTGTTTTCTAATCCACTCTTCTGCAGACGGGCACTTATGCTGATTCCAAATCTTAGCTATTGTAAATTGTGCTGCTATGAACATAGGGGTGCATATGTCCTTTCTGTGGGTGTTGCTGTTTTCTTGGGATATATTCCTAGAAGTGGGATCACGGGGTCAAATGGGAGTTCCATTTTTAATTTTTTGAGGAAACTCCATACTGTTTTCCACAAAGGCTGCACCAGTCTGCATTCCCACCAGCATTGCATGAGGGTTCCTTTTTCTCTGCATCCTCGCCAGCACTTATCGTTTGTTGACTTGCTGATGATAGCCATTCTGACAGGTGTGAGATGGTACCTCATTGTTGTTTTGATTTTCATCTCTCAGATGATTAATGACTTTGAACATATTTTCATATGTCTCTTGGCCTTCTGTATGTCCTCTTTCAAAAAGTGTCTATTTAGGTCTATGCCCATTTTTTTATTGGATTATTTATCTTCCTTTTGTTAAGTTGTATGAGTTCCCTATAAATTTTGGAGTTTAAACCTTTATCTGATATAGCATTGGCAAATATGTTCTCCCTTTCAGTGGGCTTTCTTGTTGTTTTGTTGATGGTTTCTTTTGCTGTGCAGAAGCTTTTTATTTTGATGTATCCCCATTTGTTTATTTTCTCCTTAGTTTCCATTGTCCTAGAGCTGTAATGGTAAAGATCTTGCTATGACTTATGTCTGTTATTTTGCTGCCTATGGCTTCTAAGATTTCTATGGTTTCCCATCTTATATTTAAGCCCTATATCCATTTTGAGTTTGTTTTTGTGTATGGTGTAATTTGGTG